ATGTTGAAAAATCTTTATCATTTCTATTAACTAACGATCAATGTACATTACTCGGTGGTATTATTGTTAATTGGACATTAGAACAACAACTCGAAAAAATTCTCCATTTTGCAATTCATGAAAAATGGGAAGACTTTAAAAAAGAAATATCACATATACCACATTCAAATCGAAAAACATCTGAACATATTTCTTGGCTTATTTTGGAATTAGAAATGAATATAACTATTCGAGAAATTCATATCAAAGTAGCACAACATATGATGCAGCCAAATATGGAAATCGAACATTCAACAGTACGAAATATAGTGACGCAAATGAATACGGGCGAAGAGAAAACGTCAGTTATTTTATCAATGTTAGCTGTTAATTTATCTTCATCTAGTTCGAGTTTAGTTCGTATTGTAGTACTTAAATCATTATTTCCGACAAATTATCAATCATTACGATGTAAATTAGGTGGTTTACTTTATCGACGTATTTTTCCATTTGCATGTCGTCGTGATATGAATTTCAATACTGTACAGATAAATCAAATTTTTAAACGTGTTCAAGAAGGATTATTGAATTGTGATATTATATTGACTTCACCAGAAGATATTCTCTCATTTGATTTACTCACTATTGATAAATATCGAAGAAATGAATTTGATATTGGTCGTTCTATGTTAACAGTTCAACGATGGTTAAAAAAATATGTTCGTGATGTATTAGATGAATCAGATGAAATTTTACATGTTAAATATCAATTGATTTATACTGTTGATGGAGTTGCAAAACGTTGGAAAACTATTCAAACAATTCTTGAATTCGTTAAAAAACATGCTGCAGATATTTCAAAATGTTTCTATGAAAATGTTTGTTACAAACTATCTGAACGAAAAAGTACATTTCCACAATTCCGTTTACAATCGTACGAAGCATTTCCATTACTTTGTCAAAACATTGCAAATGATTAGATCGATAGTAGAAATTATCGTTATGCAGATAAACCAATTATATTATCATTTATTTTAGAAACACATTCATCAGTTGAATATCTCGTTCATAAATTTCCACGTCTTGATATTCAAGTATTTCTCATTATTCGTGATTTATTATCATCCGAAGTTTTATTAGTTGCTTTTACAAACCGATATCGAGTTAATTATGGTGTCAACCCAAGTTCTTCTTTTAATCGTTTAATGGCTGTACCATTTCCTGCGAAAGATGTTGTAGCTGATAGAACCGAATTCGGTCAACCAGATGGTGCCTTAGTACTAGCACAACTTTCGTATAACTATTCAGGTTTAAATGAAGAAGAAACTGATCCTGCATCGATTTATGATCAATGGATTTTATATGAAGATGAAAAATATGTACCAAAAAGTATCAAACAATGGAACAAAGTTAATTTAAAAGATTATCAACAACAATTTGATTATGTCTTTCCAACTTTTCGACATAATATGTTAGTTATTAATTATTTTCTTGATTATTTTGTATTTCTTCGTGAAGTAAAACAATTTCCACATAAATTAGTTGCCTATGCTTAGGATTTATCTTCATCTTTAGGATCCAAAATAATCACTGAATTTATTGAAACGAATGATACACAGTTATTACTTCCTATTCATATTCGACAGTATGATTTACCAGAACTTCAAAAAACAGATACAATTGTTCTGAATAATTTATTAAAAAGTGAAAATGAAAATTTTCAAATTTTACCAATTAATGTAACCTCAGAAAATATTTTAAAACAAATTGTAGATTACCAAGAAATCGTAAA